TCTCTCTCTCTCTCTCTCTCTCTCTCTCTCTCTCTCTCTCTCTCTCTCTCTCTCTTTCTGTAAATTGTGAGATTTCGTAGGAAAAAAATAGGATACACATTATATGGTAAATGTGGGGTTGTAGGTTAGGATTAGATTAAGGTGCGTCGTTCCCACAAATAACGAAACGTTCAATTGGGTATGATCTCGCTAGGTTTATTCATGCTTTCTGTACAAAATAAATATATCTTCTATATGAATGTGTAGATGGTCGTGTGTGTTGGTGTAAGTTATTTTTGTGTAGTGTAATATATGCATTATTATTCCTTAAACAATTGTTTGATAACTGATTTTTTCTTCTCGCAAATAATATCGCGCGGGACTACCAGGTTCCGTCCGGGAGTCCTAGGCTTGCCTTTCGGAGTGGACGGAATGGGACTCAGTCAGGTCTGATGAAATCGTGGTCGTGTAGGCGTCTTAAAAATGTGATCTGTTTGAGTTGCCACAGAGTTCTCCAGATCGATAGGATGAAGAGGGCGTCGGACACGTGGAGCTCGTGGTGGAACGTCGATCGGATAGAGTTTCCACGGTAGGAAGGTTTCTATCCTGGAGATTGGTATAGATTCTCGCCTGGATCTCAGGAGCTGGTATGTCCTTGGGAGCCGGAACAGAGATGGGTACGAGCTTCCAAGGTATGTTTCTACCTTGGAGGTTAGGATCGGATCCCGCGTCGTAGCCTCAGGAACAGGAGCTGGTGTAGGGCTCGGTAGGACTGGAGTCGGACTTGGAATGGATGATGATTTGATTTCCACCGATTTCAGTGTTGCTGGGTCAGTATGACCCCACTTGGCAATCGGAGTGAATCTCCACTTCGTCTTGGACTTGTTCTGCAGGATACGTTTCCCAGGAGGTAGAGTTTCTACCTTGGTGACAGGAACAGGAGTCGGGTTCACAGGAACAGGAGTCGGAGCTGAGGCCATAGTCAGAGGAGGCAGCGTCTTGATCTCAGGAGCAGGAGCCGTCCCTGTTGAAAAAAATCACGTAACTCTGTAACATAACAAAATCATGTAACTGTGTGACGTAACAGAGATACGTAATTTGCTACGTATCAGTTTCGGACGTTTTGTTACGTAACAAAATCATGTATCTCTGTCACGTAATGAAATCACGTACTTTTTCCTAAATGCAGGATTTCTCTTTTTTAGTATTATTTTGAGTTTCAGTGTTAACAAAAGTCGTTTTTGTTCGACCCGACTGGCCAAATAATAAATATATTTAAAATTCACAACGTTTCAACCGCATTTTCGGTCCTTCTCAAGTGACTCATCAAGCTATGCATCCTCAAAAACCGCGTACAAAATATCGATTACGTCGCTGACATCGTGCCCTAACCACATCATGCACACGTTAAGATATTCTGTGCGTCAAAACGGAAAGTGAGAACGGTAGCGCAGAACGAAGAAACGTCGCAAGCCATAGCTGCGAACACATCAGTACAGCGTGACAGACGAAGTCATAAGCTTCTTATTTTGTTTTCAGTGTTAAATTGTAGTGTCATTTCAACTAACTCTTCTGCATGAGTTTTCTACTAAAAATTGCTTTTATGTAAATCAAGTCAAAATTGTCCTATAAATAATACAAACTCAGTTAACTCGGTTTTGCGGACAGTAATCTTTAATTTTATGATTTATTTGACCCATAAATTAAGTATATTAAATGTAGTATTTATGGTACTTATAATATAT